TTTCTTGGAACAATTATACAACATCTGAGGAAAGTACAAAACATTGCTTAGGGGAATTCTGGAACTGAATAATAGACAAATATTAAATAAATGAAAAATACCAAATTCCATAAAACTCAAAGCCAGGAGCCTGTGGAGCGGGTTAAGAGCAGGTATCCGCGGAGATCTGATCTTGAAGAGCTGTCAGTCAGCGGGCAGTGAACACCAGGAGCCAGACGTGTGCAAGCAGATGCTAGCGATGGCCTGTGGGTCCTGTCAGCTCTGCCCTGGCTTTCAGTGGGAGCCAGGCAGAGGATGTCTGAGGTGAACCTGCTGGAATCTGTGGTGGTTTCCACGAGACATGTCTCCCTAGGCGCTTGTGTTTGAACACTTGGCCCCACCTGGGGGCTCTGTTTGGGGAGGTTTTGGAACCTTTAGAAGGAGGAGCCTTCCTGGAGGAAGTGTGCAACTAGGGGTAGGCTTTGTTCATAGCCTGACCCCACTTCCTGTTCTCTCTGTTTCCTATGTGTGGATGAAATGTGACCTCTCTGATGCTGTTCCCTTCCCTGCCCGCTGCTGTGCCTTCCCTACCATGGTGGACGTAGAGTGGTGTGAGTGAGAGAACAGTCCCGGAGCACCAGAACGCTATCCCACAGGACAGTGCTTTACTCCAGCGATGCTTGAAAGAGTTAAAAATACCACAGAGGGTGAATTACAATATTTTAATGGGGTCCACCAGGCAGAGCAGCACCAACTCTTGAGATTTCTGCTTCAACCGTAAGCCACACTAACCTGTGGTCTTTAACTTGCCTTCTGGCCGTAGTATTTTATCACAGCAACAGGAAAGGAACTGATGCAGAACCTTGTCGGGTGATGGTCTTTCAAGTCCTTCATTTCCAGGGACTTGCTGTGCGCTGCGACTCACAACAGCCCACTGGATCCTGGCGGTTAATCACATTCTTTAGTGTGGCATGAGCCAGAGGACTCGACACCATGTGCAAAGCACTAACCACAGTGCACATCTGTAATTCCAGTGCTCAGGAGGCTGAGCTTGGAGGACTGCAAGTTCAAGGCTAGCCTAGGCTATACAGCAAATGCAAAGCTGCCCCAAACTCCATAGCAAGATCCTGTCTCCCTTGGTCTTACTCATACTATATTCTAAGCAGCAATGTGATCGACCACAAACTAGCACTGCTAACTGTGCCAGAATCCTCCAGAATGGATCCTGTGTGGACAGTTACACTGCTAAGCTATTGCTAGGGCTGATACTCTGGAGAGTCTG